CCACGGGCTTGCTGAGTTGAAACAAGCGGAAAATCGCTTGCTTTGGCTCGCCAGGCAGACGGCCAGGGCGCAAAGAAGATGATGAACAGGACTCGATGCCAATCGCAATTTGGGTGCCAAATGTGTGTGTGTGTGTGTGGGCGGGTGGGTGGGTGGGTGGGTGGGTGGGTCGGGTGGGTGGGTGGGTGGGTGGTAGGGGTGGGTGGTAGGGGTGGGTGGTCGGGGTGGGTGGTATGTGTTTGTGTGTGTTGACTCAACACGCTTTGCAGGTTGGTTTAAGGGAAAACCAAAAGACAGCACCTCTTTCAAGGGCATGTATATTTGCTGATTGCTTACACTCACTTAGCGACTTAGAATTCCTGTCATGGGAAGTCACGCTCTACCGCCACTGGTTGAAACAGACTGGCCGCATTCAACGGCCCAGATAAACTTGAGATTTATTGATCTGAGGCCACAGCAGCACGACATGGATTTGCGGCCTTTGATAGCCAAATTCTAAAAGCAACCAACTGTCAACAGCCGCGTGAAAGTAGTGACCTACATCCAACCGCCAGCTGCTTCACTTCCCGGCAGCTGCTTTTCACACAGCCGCCGGTTTGCCCAAAGAAGGTAGCCACAATCCAAGAGGAAGTTGCTTGCGGCCGACACATGCCAATTTGCAACGTGAGCGAGGCCTGCATCCAGGGTTGCCTTCCCTGGAAAGCACGTGTACAAGGAACTGGTTGAGGCAGTTAAGGGTCGCACAGAAATGTTGGTCTAGATACTTATGTTTGCTGCTTTTCTCTTTCCTACAGTCCAACAACCAGGAACTTCAATGCCAAAGCATCTAGATTTGAAGCGCTGCAGTTGAAAGCCTGACGCTCACGGAATCTCACAGAGCATCTTAAAGCATTTATCGTTTCACAAATGCGGTTCAATGTTGCGATAGCGAAGGCAGCAGGATCGCAGGTAGTCACGTTCAAGGTTTGGGGCATTTGCATTGATTCGCTTGAAGTTCATGTTGGCCTGCTGTCTCCTGAATTCAGGATCAGCGACTTTGAGTCGCAGGTGTCAGCGCAACTCCAGGCAATGCGACTCATGTCGGGAGCGGGGGAGAAGGGCGCAGATTGAGGCCCAGATGGCCTTTGCAATGGCTCTGTTGGCAAGGTTGGGCCAGCCCCTAGTTTAAGTTTAAGCATGTTTAGGCAACATCTTTCTGCTTGATGTCCGCTGGGGTAAAACACTTAGACGGTACTTTCCCATTTGCTTACGAGGTTTTGCAATCGAGAATTCGGGAACAGCATGAAGGAAAGCCAAGCGATTCCGGCTGACGGGACTGCTGCCATCGGCGGATTGTATTGGAGGAGCTGAAGTTCATTTTTGATCTTTGACTGATTGACAAACAAGTAGCTATAGTGTTCGCCTGGGGCCGGAAACAGGGCTTCATCGAGGGCCTGATGTTCTTTTTGTGGAGGATTCTCACCAACCACCAGGCCCTCGAGGAAGCCTTGTTTCCGGCAGGCAGGAATCGAAAAAGAAAACTCTCGAGTGAGCCATGGTTCCGGCCAAGGGCGAAAACCAAACAGGAACCCTCCTGCCCCAAGAATTCAACAAATATTGCATTTAAAATGAGAAGCCTTGTAAGCCCTGTCGAATTTGGAGAGCCCCATTGTTCTGTAGCTTCCCTTCATAGGTCGTATTGCGGTAATGACCTTGGGCTGGTCCACCACATCGCCAAGCGCTGCCATTTACGCGCGGTGTTGTTTTGAGGGTCCCCCTCTTTGGGGGCGTGCCTTGTATCTAGAAGAGCGAAGCCAGCCGTGCGCTTCCCCGCGACCGCAAGCGACGGCCCAACGACTGAGACTGAGACTCCGCGAGACTCGCGCGCTCGCTGGCGCCATGTTCTGCAGCTGCTGCACCACGTCCGCGGAGCCCGGCGGCGTGGAGGACATCGGCGTCATCAAGATGATGCCCCCAGAGGCACCGCCGCCACTCCTGGAGGAGGGGCGGGGTGCCTAGGGTTTTGTAGGTAACCAAGCAAACCACCCTGCAAGAACCAAAGGAAAATAGCTGGTTACCCACTATGGTAGCTGGGATCCACTGCGGGAGAGAGGCTTACTTGTTGCTGGCGATGTCCGCAGGCTTCAAATCAATGAGGCTCACAGCCTGCTGTCGGAATTGCACGAGGGGATGCCGGGGGATGCTATATGCGGCTGCTTTCCCTAACAGAAGTGAGATGTGCAGCTTTCCCTAGCACAACGATTCTCTTCGGGCTCGCTACAAAGAGTGAACCCAGAAAGGGTTCCAATTCTTTTTCTACCAGGAGCACTGATTGCAACTGCATTTCTGATCCGTCCTTTGGACTCGAGGAGCAGGCGCCCATTGGCTCATCACCTCCGGTAGTCACAGAGAGCACTGCGCCGCTGGAGGAGTGGGTTGCCAGGGCATGGCTTGTATTTTGCCAGGAATATACAGGAGTATACCGGAATACCAAAGAGAAACCACTTTTTCGCAAAGTTATCCCCTAGCCCCCCATTAAAAGACAAAACCCGACCTCTAGTAGGGGACTCGGGATTTCCTGGTTGTGGTACCACGGTGGTCAATCAAATCGACATTTACTCCACGGGTGTAAAGAAAAGCACATCGGGTGACCCGATGGGGCACTCTTAAGTTTGTCCAGAACCTAGCTAGGTTTCTCGAAGTTAAGTCTTGTTCTTCCCCTATTAATGAATGACCCCAATTAATAAAAAATGGAAATCCGGGGCCCGGGACCAGATTTCCACTCCGCACAATTGTTTTTTAATTGCGCCAATACTAAACCAATACTAAAGTCTTGGAATCCTTATTAGGGGGTACTTTTAACAAGCTTCCAGCCCCACTTTTAACAAGGTGGGTTCCCCAAAGATGAATTCCCCAAAAGGTTGCTTCCCCAAAAGGTGGGTTCCCCAAAAGGTTGGGTCCTTTATTGGGGTGGTGTCCCTCAAAAGAAAACATGTCCCCAAAAGCTGTCGCTGTCTAGCTGCGACTGTCTCTCTTCCGTACATGCTGGCTAACCTGCCTGGCTGCAAACAAACAACCATTAAACGGAAAAACAAATAGAATGATACATAAAATGTCCTTATTAAACCGCTTACTCGCAGACCTTACAATTCAATCCATTTCCTCCAAATCCTATGTGAACCCTCACATTGTTGGAAAACCAAAAAAACCCAACCCCAAAAACCCCAATTACAAAAAATATATATTTTTGGGAGGATTTATTTATAATAGGGGGGGCCGTATTTATTAATAGGGGGAAGAGATTAAATCTTGTTGCTTTGCAGTTTCTCGGCCTTCCGTGGTGCGATAGCGCAGTTGGTTAACGGCAGGTCAGGTGGCCATGAATTGCATATCTCCATAAAACCAGTTTGAATCAGATCTGTCCTATGTTGCCTTCATTTAGCCAAAGGAATTGTCAACTATGTCCTGCGAATATGGACTCCCTCACGTGATTCGTACTCAAATTGATGGGCAGGCGCACGCACACGGTTTGCCAAGCACCTACAGTATGTTCAACGGACGACTGTGGACAGTGGTTCAACAACGGATGAATCCATGTTACAGTTGAGCACGCAACTCTTGTGCAATTCTGAGCGGTGACCAAAGTTGGTCACCAAAGGTTCCATCGGCCAGAGAGAGCCTTCGAAGGCAAAACCGCCACCTTGAGCGCAGGAGCGGAGCTTTGCGGAGGCGCAGGGCGCGGAGTTCGGCTTCACGCTGCCGGACGGCAGCTACCGGACCGTGATCATGAGCAGCAAACCTTTGGGCCTGGACTTCTACAAAGCGGCGCCTCGGCTTCCGATTCCGGCCAGACGGCAGACATGGTATGTTCGAAGAGCTCAAGCAAAAGAAGCAACCAAAAAACCAGGTGGCAACTTTGGCGCCTCGCAGTCAGGGGGAATGATACCAGTCGGGAAGATCTATCTTTGATTCATTGCGACGAAAACTCCTACTCTCTGGAACCGTGCGGCAAACCAAACATTATTTCATAAATGGGATTGCACCAAGCTTTACATGTCCCCGCCTAAGAGAGAGGGCCCTCCAAACAAAAACTAGCTGCAACAAGGGCGTTTAAGGCTTTGTCAAGATTGAGTCGTTTGGCAACTTCTTAGCTATCATCGAATTTAAATGTGTGCTTTCTGAAGAGTGTGGCTGGAACAGCAAGACTCAAAACACTATGCTCAAACATGCGTGAACGGAAATTGCATGTTTCAAAAGAGTCGGCAGTGGAGCAAGCTACAGTGAAACTGTCATGGGACTCCGTTCGCTAAGCCGCGAAGACTATCGAACACTCAAAGCAAGCACCATCCACAGAAGATATGCTTATTTAATGGCATAGTCAAGATGGCATGTCAACTAGACTGGATGGTGGGAATTTGCGAGTGCCGGGAAAAGCTCGTCCAAGGTGCCGCTGATCGTGAAGAATGTGAAGCCCAACTCAGATGGGGAACGTGTGGGCATCAAACAGAAGCGCCTTCGCCGCGCTGCGAGAGCGGTAACTGTCGGGTTTGGCTCAGCATGGCTCAGCTTTCGAGCGGCATGTTGCATAAGGACTGAGCAATCCAGACTCTTCACTTTGAAGGCCGTGCCAAGCTTTCGCGCCTTCTTAGGATGGTCCGTAGGTGTGGCTGGTGAAGTGATGCATTCCAATTGGCTTCCACCTTCGGAGATGAATTTGCGGACAAGCCACGGGTTGAGAGGCCGGCTTTCTTCAATCCCTGACGCCCAGTGGTGCCTTTTGGTCCTTTTTGTTTTGAGCAGGTTTCCCGGTTTCCCCAAAAAATCAACTAACAAAACGGCTGCCCGCCTTTTTTTTCGATGGCCACTTGGGGTCGGGGATCTGGTGTCGGACCATGCTGCTTTGCTCCCCATGCCCAATGCTAGCCCGACGAGCGGCGGTAAGTTGGCTGACATGCTTACAAACACCTGAGAACTTTGCGTGATCGGAGAGCACTTCTTGGACTGCATGCTTGGCACATGATTTGGTTTGGAGTTGTTTTAGGCTTAACCTGCCATTTGCGCGTGTTCAGCGTTTGCAAAGGCGCGGCACAGCCCCTGATAGGGTCACGTAGGCAATTCCTCTCAAACTTAGCAATGCAGGACAGGCAGGGCGACTTGAAATTGACAGCAACCAGTGGGCGCGCCTTGCGGAGAGTTTGATCCTAGGAGTCTGGAGCAAACACCCGCGCCCGGTAGGGTGGCCGTAATGGTTCTCCATTTTCACAGGACCCCATGCTTGAGGTGGCAGCTGACCCAGTTGGACGGCGAGCCAGTTGGTGGAGACTTGCAGACTGTGATGGCGCAGATTGCTCCTTATATGCGGGTTGGGACCATTCTAATGTATAGGGGAGGGGGATGCGTACCCAATCAAAGGACTCTCCACATATATTGATTAACATGATTACTTGCATAAAGACGTTAATACAAAACTCAATATGCTAGCTATCGATATATATATATATATATATATACACGTATACTCAATATATTGTGTATATCTTCCCTGCGTGTAGGTGGCGAATGTATTTCGGCTGGCTGAGGATTTGTCCGAACAACGCTCATTAAACCTAAGATAGGGGCGGCATATTTTTATTTTTTTATTTTTTTAAATCCGCATCAATGATTGCTGCATTTGTTGGTCACAAGACACTGGGAGCACCGGATGTGCAAATAATGGCAATAAACCCCAGTATTCACAGGGCTTCAGTCGAGTTTGAGACTAGTTTTGGTTGGGGGTCCGCATGCTCTATGTGCAAAATGTGGCTGATTCTAGTGCCGAGCTGGCTGGCTGCAGCTATTCATTCCACTCAAGCGGCCTTTGTCGCCATGCATGACATGAGGGCGGCTTTCGCTTTTGGGTCAAACAATGGCCAATGGCCAGGCATGTCTTGAAGCAGTGCAAAAGCCTTAATGTAGCAAGCATACCCAGTAGACAATGGAGTCTATCAGAGTTTATTAAACAGAACCATCACCTTTCATTTTGTTCCCTTGGAGGGATGGGGTTGGGTGCTTGCGCATCGCATTCCATCAAAAGCAGCATAGCCTGACCAATGCCTCAGCGGTTTGCTCTTTCCATTCGACATCCTACACAATCGGCAATCGGACCAAAAAAAGAAGAAAACACAAGCTTTTGCGTGCCCTTTGACACAGGAGATGTGGAACGCAATTGTCAAACTAGAGGCCCTTCGAAACGAACCCAAACTCAGCAATTACTTGGTCCAGTGACCTCCTGAGGTCAAAGCTGTCCAGAACCTGCCAACCAAGACCAAGAGCTGAGGCTTCTTGTGGTCTCACCAGGATTTGAAGGAGGGTAGGTTGCACCACCTGTGTGCTGCACCAGGCTTCGTGGCACTTGGTCTTCGCTTGGGCACAAGCGATGTTGTTGCAGACGGGTCAGACGGCAGAGTTTGGGACAACCAATGTAAGAGTTAAACGAGGAAACACAGCATACCATGCAAGGAGTTCCAACCATAGGCACAAGCATGCACGTTTTTGGGCCCATTCATGTGTTTTTCTTGTATGGCATGCCGGGCCACGCAATGACCCCCCACCCCCCACCCCACAAGAAAAACAAAAAAACAAACACAAAACAAAACACGCTTGGAGTGGGGGCAACGCGTATTGCTAGGGTATTGGGGTTGCATTCCTCCCTTTCCACCTCCGCATGTTTTTCAAGCAGCAGTTTCAACGAAAGGACTAGCGTCACCTAGGACTGGATTTGGGGCCAAGAAATGTGACTGTTTTCAATGGGCTTAGTGTGGCCTACATCTCAAGTAGTATTGGCAGATGGGGTCACCGCATGTGTGAAAATGGGAGCGAATCATCAGAAGGACTTTATCATGATCAAATCCCCTCAAGAGCTCCTTTGCCCACAAGGTCTTGGAACTGCAAGTTAAGGTACTTTGTGCTCTTTGTGTTTCTTCAGGCTTGTTTGGCCAGGTGGGATTGATTTGTCAAAGGCCTCACGCAGGCTGGTGTCAGTATCTCGTTTTGCGTGAGTTTGCATGCCGCACCTGAAGTTGTCAAGCTTATGTTATCACCATTAAGCCAATCTTGAGCTCCAAAGTTCCGCTAAGTAGTTGCCTCTGCTCAAAGGCAATTCCCCAAGATCCTTATTTTGGGTTGCGAAAGGGGTCCCTGGCGGCATAGCGGCCAAAGTGGTCAGGTATTGGCTAAAACTGATGGAATCCCTTCAGAACTTCCAGGTGATGCCCCTGCAATGCGACAGCTTCACAGGAAAGTTCTTGCGCTTAGTCTCAAAGGAGACTGTTGGCAGTCTTTGGGGGTCAATGATGGAAATCTGATTGGGAGGTCATGCTTCGAGAGGTGTTTTTTTTGTACTGGCAAAACACCCTGAAGCCCTACATGACTTGCAACTACCTGCAAAGGTGGGCATCCTCCAGTGCATACGCATCCAAAAGCAAATACACTTTTGGATGGCCTTCCTCATGGACATCCACTCCAATGTGAATGAGTACCCAAGAGTAATGCTAACATTTTAGATATCTGCATGAAAGCAGCGTTCAATAGGGTGCATGCGCCATGTTTGTGAGCTGATCCAATTTCGAGAGAATGCCTGGTGCCACGATGGCAGATAGATGCCTTCAGACTGCTTTTGACTGCCCGCTTTGCAGGCATGAAGCCGGTCCCGGCCGAATGGCCGGCATGGTTCATGTTGGCGCCTCATAAGGGGACTTGACCAACTTGGCCACGCGCGTTTTGTTTTTTTCACGCGCTAGGTCTTGCCTTGAACTTGGGGCAAGATGTCCTGAGGATCTCCTTGCTTGTCTTGCGGTGCGTGTGCCGGGCCCATTGGTTGCGCCCGAGCCGGATTGAACAGTCACTTCAAACGGTGCTACAGAGCTGACCCAGCTGAGCGCGAGAAAGGTGGGCACCTTGTGTGTCTGTGGTGCTTCCTAGTTCATCTACCTTTTGTGAGCCCAAACCAAACGGATGACACTGACACCCATTTCGGATGGTGCTCCTTTGGAGGTACACCCTGTTCGAGAGCCCTTAGCCGGCGACGCCGTGACGGGTTTGGATTTTAAGGCATTTCAGGCAGAAACACAACAGCCCTAAGAGAGGTGTGCGCAAACCCAAAAAACAAAACATGCCCAAGATTGCGGGAAAACACCCTGTTGTGATGGTGCGTACTTCGCTGCAACACGCACGCCGGGGCGAAGCGCCACTCTATTCCTTCCTGTTTCGTTCATGTTAGAATCCGGCCCCTGTAACAATAAACGGTCCCCCCCTTCCCCCCTAATTCAACACGACGCGGAGGGTTTTTTGGCCAGAACTGTGTTCAGAATGCCATTTTGTTGTAAGAACTTTCAAGGGAATGGACCCCTTTGATTTGCAACAAAAGTGGTCTGATTTTTTTTGTAAGGCCTTATGAAGGGAACCTAATGAAGACCCTAAGAAGCACATTTGGGGAGCTTGGCCGCGTTCGTCTGGTTTCCAGAGAATTTAGTATTATTGGTTTAGTATTGGATAGTTTTACATTTGTATTGGCATTTTGTTGGGGTCAGCTGGAGTTTTTTTTTTTTTTTTTTTTTTTTTTTATTGGGGTGCGTTTGTAAACAGGAAGAAGGGATTACTGGGGTGGCTGGAATTGATCCAGAGTTCCTCTAGCACGGAAGCCACCAGCCTCTTATTACAAGCAACGCATGCAAGGGGTTCCTGGAACCATCTATGTATATCCACTCCCCTTGATTTCTCTAAGGCAAAGCGCCGGCGTGAGTCGATCGGCTTCGGGCGTCAGAGAGTTCCTTGGTATTTAAGCAGCGTTACTTGGCGCATCTTGTCAACCACAAAAGTAGTTGATTGTTGGTTCCGTCCGGTTTTACCTCATCCCCAGCCGCCTCAACGGGAGCCTCTTGTTCGCTGATGCCACGCTCGTTTGGGCCGACTGGGTGCCTTCCACAGACGTCTCGCCAGGCGATGACTCAAGACGTGGACAAGAAGTTGTCCTTCCTGAGCTCCAAGAGGCGCTGCGAGCGCTTTGTTTTCATTCGCCTCCTGGTGTTTACTTGGCGTCTATTCAGTAGACATCTTCATCACATGGGATGTGTGGATTTTTTCAGGAATGACACATGGGATGTCCAGCGGTTGTGTGTAGGTACCATGGTAGATACTCGCGCGAAGCCAAGAAGCAGAATGTCTGTGGCTTCCATGTTGCGTTTGATAGTTGCACTCGCACATGACCCTACTCATTGGAGGCCTCAAACTTTGTCGCGAGATGTAGGGAGTGCCCTTTGCATTGCGAGGCTTCCCCTGAGCAACGGTCGGAACAGCCTGGAACCTTGCAGCTCTTGCAAACGCATACGCAGTCAACACATGGGCTTGTTGGTTGGACCAGTGCCGCCTTGCTTCATTTCTGCGCGTTGGCCCCCGCATGTAGGGAGCTGCGTTTCAATTGTTTTGAACAATACCTTGATGTTCAATCAAAGAAAGCTGTTGCTGGAGTTTGGCAATTTGTGGCTTGTGCGCAAACCTCCTGTTTTGCAGGCATCTATCTACTTGTTTGTTTCATCCGAACCTATCCCCAGCTCCACTTGAATGTTTGCCAGCTTCCATTTCCGTCCACCCGAATGTCATGCATGAGGGGGGTACTCCGATCCCTTCCCAACTTTGTGGATGCAAGGGACGAAACGTATGTTGGGGGGAATTTCTGCCCAGGTGGCCCATACTTTTCCCAGTTGGGGCGGGGTTGTTGTGCTCTTTTGTCCCGCATGGTCCGAGTTCGGAGCAAACATGAAATACAGTAGTTGGTGTGTTTTTGTATTTATAACTTGTTCTGCGCGTATATTGATTGAACAAATGCAATGTGTGCAATTCGCTAATATATACATACAAATTTGCATCCAACTGTACATATATATATATACATAGGTCTATCTATTTATGTGTATATATATATATAAGTATGTATATGTTCACATACATATCTTCCCAGCCATCAAAAAGTCACTTGGCAAAATATTTACGGTCCTTACAAAGCGTGGGCCGGCCAGGTCAACAGCAGAAGAGACCGGCCTGGACAGCTTGAGCCGAGATGTAGATGTGAGAGCCCCAGGCCAACAACTTTAATACCGGATGACGTGGCACACATTCCACTACCGGTGTGGGTCATGCAAGGCTTATTGGACGCTGGGTGCCAATGCTCACCCGCTGTTTGAACAAAGTTGGAGAGGTTTGTCCCCAAGCACACTAGCCCAACGTCACATGTCAGACCAACTTGATGTTTATATCCGCCACATGGGGATGGTATCATGACACAATTTCCCCTCCCCATTTTTACAGGCTTTCACACAGAGAGGTAGGGTGCCCATGTGCATACGAGCATGTTGGTCATGAACATCTCCTTTACTAGATGTTGTAGAGGATGTTCTTGGTTTCATCAGTCTAGTGCTTAGTCCCTTTGTGTCCGGCTGAATCCGGGGACATTGCCAAGCAGACGAGGGGAATCCCTCTTTCGATCAGTGGGCAGAAATGTCGTAGAGGATTCGGATTCGAGCTGTGTGGAGTTATTCTGAAGTTGACATGATCTTTCCCGTCCTTGGTGGCTCAAAGCCATCCGGTTCAACTTAGCTGTTTGGGGCTGTAGTTGGTTTAGTGGTCGGGTTTCCGAATTTGACCCACTGGAAGTTGGTCACTTTTAGCAGGGATCAGCAAACGGACAGCCCAGTTTGAATAGAAATCGGATTGGTTTCAACCCCTCAAAATGATAGCCCCATGGGACCGAGGGTTTTGTTTGGTTCGGTTTCTCCCAAAAGGACCGGGAGATCCAAAATTGGGTGCGAAAGGCGAACTTTCTTCTAGGGATTCTTGATCGGAAGAGGTCCCTTCAACCCCACCCCCGTGAATGGAAGAGTTTCATTATGATGCGACCTTTGTTCATTGTTTTTTTGCATGTTTAGGCCACTAAGCTTCACGTGTTACTTTGGGTTGGGAGGCAAAAGCCGCGGTGTGTAAGGTTTATGTTTGGAGTGTCTTACGCTAGCCCCTTACCCGTGCATGAGGCCGTGAAGTACGACGTTGGCGAGTTGAAGGCGCGAAAACCTATGCCAGACCTCCGGTCTCATTGCTCGGATGTTCCTTGCCCAGGTGTCCCCTTTCAACAGCCGAAAAAGCGAAGCCAGCGAACCTTCGTGCTTCTCTTTTCCAACCCCGATCCCGCAACGGATTCGGGGTTGGACCTTGCTTGCGACTTGACACGAAACAAAAGCTGAAGCCAGGCGGTTTTTTGGTGTACCCTGGGGCCCTGGGCCATGGGTCTGAGTCTCTGAGGACTTGCTGAATGGCGCCAAGAGCGACACCGCGCACGTGAAGCGCATTGTCATAGCGTGCGAACGGGACATGGAGGTGGGGTTT